TCGTATTAGCAAAGGCTAGGGTCTTATGGTTATGGGATCACGATACAGTTAGAGAAAAGCAGTTTGAATACCACTATGATGGATGCATCTTCTAATTTGACCCACAAATATCCAGTCATTTTCGAGACAAAGGAGGGAAAGAGCAGACAAAATAATGTCCCAGAAAATGTCGAGACAAAAGAGGCTACAGGAGAGCTGGAGGCGTAAAGCTACATCTTGATGGCATTAGGCCTGGCACCAACACCACTCTTGTGTACAGTTGAGCTACTTTAGTTCAGGCCACGAGCAAGAAGGGTATAGGCATGTAGCCTGCTTAGATACATACATACATAGTGATAGTGTATTTTACATTTCTTTGTCAAATTACAAACCAATGCTATGATTTTCTATGCCACACTACATGTGGTAACCTACATGGTGAAACAACAAACGACTGTCCTCGAAAGTATAAACTTAATGAGTGACATGTTTTTACCTTTCGTCCTACTTAAGGCTCCACTATGTGATTAGATTTCTATTGGCTTACAGATCGTTTGAAGTGCAGCCAATGGTATAATTGGCGCGTCGTGATTGGCTCCCCACCCCCAGCAGACATTCAGGGAAGATGTGGGCAAACAGTGTTACTTAGCAACATATTGGGTGGCACATCAGTGACGTCACTGTAAAGCTATAGGGACGATGCCGTCAACTCTGCAACTCTGTCAATTCTCCGTGTAAATCTACATGGCGATGGTTGCATATATTGAATATTTTCTTCCCTTTCCGATGTCGGGACCATGAAAAGCGTGTGGGAGGCTGGGAGCATAGGCTGGAGAATTTTTTGGATGAATGTTTTAAACATTTTGTTTCGAGGTTATACTGCCACCAAGCGTTCACTGGCATACACGACAAAACACATGGCAGTTGAACTGTAAAAGCAACTTTTTCCAAATGAATTCTAACGAATTATTTAAAAACAAAATCCTTGGCACTAAATAAAAAATCAGTAACAATGTCCAATGTCTTCTTAAGCGGGGTTAGTTGAATCATCGATGAGTTCGCGAATCGATTAGCTACGCCTAGGTTTAGTATGGGTAATCGAGTCGGAAACGTCGATAGGCAGAGTAGCGGTGGTCGGAAGTTATCAGTAAACTTATGGGTAAGTAATGAACTATACAACGGGTGCCGTTTGCAAGACTATAATTCACATTTTCATAGTGCAGGTCTATTAGTTGACATCTTATTCTAAAAACAGTATCTGGGAGTATTCGTGCTGGCTAGCTGTTAGCCTGCTGCTACAGACAGCGAATACTGTGTGTGTGTGTGTGTGTGTCTGTGTGATCAACGAGCTACACTGTCATTTTAGAGACGGATAGACAATACAATATGTATTATATTAACTTAAATACATTCTGTAATATGTCCCCGTGGTATACATCCACACAAAACCGGAAGATAAAAGGATGATGTCAAACCATCACAGCAAAAAGAGTATAAACTAACTTTGATGCTTATCCTTCCTTGTTGTAACCAATGAGTGCCAAGCGCCCGTTTTTTTTAAGACGGACCCTTTACTGGACCAGGAGGTACAAAACTGACTTTCTGCTTTTGTCCTCCCGTTGCTAGACCACTGGTCTGTGGGGAATGTGTCGTGTTTTATAGAAGAGGAGCGGCTGCTGGTGGCTGAACAAAATAAACGTCACATATAGGAGACAGACATAGCCCCCCAGCCGGCCACCATGTCCTCCCTGGGTGCTCGCCTGTCTCCTCAGGGCTTCGCCTCCACCTCCTCCACCACCAGCACGTCAGGCAGCGGTGGTGCTGATGTTGTTGCCATGGCAACAGCATCACCATCACCGGAGCAGGTGCCCTTCGCCTTCCGACCGCTACGCGAGGATCATCCTGGCCCAGATGAACAGGATGCGCCTCCACGCCGACTTCTGCGACGTGCGGCTGAGGGTCGGCGAGCGCGTCTTCCGGGTGCACAGGCTCGTGCTGGCCGCCAGCAGCCCCTACTTCTGCGCCCTGTTCTCCGGGGGGATGAAGGAGGCCGACAAGGAGGAGGTGCAGATCCTGGGAGTGGATGCCGGGATATTCGAGGTCCTGCTGGACTTTATCTACACAGGTGCTTGGCTGTCGTTCCCTCTTTATCTCAACCATAGGGGTTTTGGCTTTATGCTCAGGCATGCCTACGGGTAGCCCTCAGACATTGGAGTTCAAACTCACAACCTTTCGGCTTTGAGTCAAACACCCCAACCACTAGACCCCCCCCTCCCCCTTTTTGCTACAACAGACTGTTTAGTGTCTTCATTCAAAAGTTCATTCAATAGCTATAGTTCATTCAATAGTTAAAGTTCAATAGTTCATTCAAAATTCACTTCCTACCGGGTGCTTTCAGACTTAATTCATCTGCCTCTGCCTTCAGGCCTGCTGACATTGATTTGCTTGTGGACTAAACTTGCCTTTTATTATTCACACTTTTAAACACTTGGCTCTTTGCACATCCAGACTACCAGAACACTTGAATATAACAGAACACTTGAATGTATCTGAGCACTTGAATCTATCTGCACTGCTATTAATCTGGAACTTACCTTTATTATCTACTTATTATTTTAATCACCTTTCTCTTTGCACACTGTTTGCTCCTTGCACACTCTAATATTTGAGTCAGTTTGACTATTTTACTTTTTAAATATTTGTGTTTATGTACCTGTTGTCTGTAATTTAAAGTATCTGGCTGCTACGGCGATTTAATTTCCCTAATAAGTCAACTATTTATCTATATATCTATCTATCAAAGCCCAATTCAGTGCTTTTCTGACCCTAGTGGAGATTTGGTCAATAGATAAAATAGCCTTTTTCTTCTTTTCTGTCCCCAATCAGGTGGGATCCCCGTGAGCGTGGAGAACGTGCAGGAGCTGATGGTGGCAGCAGACATGCTGCAGCTGGGCGAGGTGGTCTCCATCTGTGGGGAGTTCCTCAAAGGCCACATGGACCCCTCCAACTGTGTTGGTATCTTTCAGTTCCTGGAGCAGATCGCCTGCATGGACATGCTGGAGTTCACCGAGAACTACATCCACGTCCACTTCCTGGAGGTACCGGAGAAGATGAGACTAGACTATGGTGTTACACACACCGAATATCAGTCACATGAAACAATCTTGAAAAGCTGGACTGTGTTCCCAATACAAGCCAAGTCAATTAACACATGTTTGTTTATATTATACATGCCTCACACGCACAGTTAGTCTCTACTAACTGTAACTGTACGCATGTATAATATAAATATAATATAATATAATAATATAATAGGAATTATGCTCCAAATGTTGCATACATACATATTGTTGTTATTGTTTATTATTGTGCTTTTTCTATGAAACTTTACTACTTTATCAGTAAGATCATCCACCTTCACCACCAACACCTACTCCACCACTGCCACCACCACCACAACTACCACCACCATCACCATCCCCACTATCATCGCTCCCCTCTACCACCACCACCTCACTCACTCCCCCGCTACCCCCACCCCCCACTCCCTCCTTCATGTCTGCCCCCAGGTGTGTGTGGCCGATGAGTTCTGGGGCCTGTCCAAGGAGCAGCTGGTGAGGCTGCTGCGGAGTGAGGAGCTACGCATCGAGGACGAGTACCAGGTGTTCACGGCCGCCATGGACTGGCTGCACCAGGACGTGGGCCGGAGACGCAAGCACGTGGTGGAAGTGCTGGAGCCTGTCCGTTTCCCGCTGCTCTCCCCCCAGAGGCTGCTGAAGTACATCGAAGGTGAGAGAGCAAAGGTTGGGCTTCTGTAATGTGGGTCGTTCACTCACAAGCTTCTTTTTTTTTACATGCCGTGATGACCCGCCTGTGTGGAGGTACCTTTTGGCCCGGGACCCACCGAATAGTTTTGTAACAATGAAATAAGCTTTACATTGGCATAATCGTGTCAAAAATTGATTAACATTTCTCTATGTATATTCAGCAATATATATATATATATATTATTATTTTTTTTTTAATAAAGTATTTGCCGTCCTGTGACCCACTTGGTCTCCACTTATGTGTTGCAAACACAGTTTGAAAACCAGTGCTCTATTACATGGTTGGTTTAATAATAATAACCATGAAGGTTGATTAAAAACTACAGTTTTGTCCCCGCAACAAAAGGTATTGCCGATTTCAGCCTGCGGGTGGCGCTGCAGACGCTGTTAAAAGAGTACATGGAGGTCGCCAAGTCGCCGAAGGAAAACAAGATGTACAGTCTGGTGGAACCGGCCAAGATGAGGCCCAGACGGAAAGCCAGGAAATATCTCTACGCTATAGGTGCCTGTAAACCTATTTTGTATATGCTGCCCTGCAGCGATCTCTGGTGGTCATTGGTTGTAATTAACCGCTTTTCACAAAGCTCAGAATATAAAAAAATAAATAATAAAAATAACTAAAGAACAATAACAATTCATTAGTATTTAAAAAAACATGTTATTAAAAAAAGTATCGGTTGTTAATATTAACTGTTTATTGTATTATTACCAAAATGAAACGATACACAGCATCTCGACACATTCTCACCGTGTTCACTTACTTCACCAATGCACGGTCCTCCTAACCCTCTCCTCTCTCCCATCCCCACCACCCCCTCCGCTCCTCCAGGGGGCTACACGCGTCTGCAGGGCGGCCGCTGGAGCGACAGCCGGGCTCTGAGCTGCGTGGAGCGCTTCGACTCCTTCAACCAGTACTGGACCACTGTGTCCTCCCTGCACCAGGCGCGCAGCGGCCTGGGCGTGGCCGTACTGGAGGGCATGATCTACGTGGTGGGAGGTGAGGGGGGAGAGAGGTGGAGGTCGTGGGGGGTGGGATTAGGACTCAGGGGGGTGGAGCTGGGAGACGATGACCAGAATGTTTTTATTTAAGATCCACCATTTAGCAGAAGCTTTTATCCGAACAGTTTTTATTCATTTATTTTAACTGACTTGGAACTCTGAGGTTCAAACTCAGAAATGTGCGGCCAGGGGGGGGCAGGACAGTCTAGCGGTTCGGGTGTTCGACTCCCAGCCGAAAGATTCTGGGTTCGATCCCCAGTGTCTGCAGTCTACCTAAAGGCACCCCTGGGCAAGGTGCCCTAACCCCTGGTTGCTCCTCAGTGGCATTCACTGTAAGTGGCTTTGGATTAAGAAAATAAAGAGGAAATGGTCATTAGTAAACACCCCTACCACCCTGACCAATGGACTGGCCTGCCTCCACTCCTGTATGTATTTTTGTTCTGACCAGGGGAGAAGGACTCGATGATCTTCGACTGCACGGAGCGCTACGACCCGGTGACCAAGCAGTGGGCGGCCGTGGCGTCCCTCAACTACCCCCGCTGCGGCGTAAGCGTGTGCCCCTGCCATGGAGCCCTCTATGCCTTCGGTAAAACTCTCTCCTGTCAATCACCGCCCGACCACCGGCACCCTGCTTGTACGCAATCAGGGTATCCGCGGATCCTTAAAAAGTCTTATATTGTCTTAAATTAATTTCCCTAAATGTAAGGCCTTATAATGTCTTAAATTGTCTTAAATCCACTTTTCAAAGGTCTTTAAAAAAACAGGCGATTCTATTCGCCTGCTACATTGTGTTTTTGCTATGTTGTGTTTGCGCTGTGCTTGTGTGGCGGAGGTGAAGCGAGGAAGGTGATTGGATGAAACACCAGCATCTTCCCAGTGATCTCTGGGCAACTTTTACTAACATATTTTGGCGCCACATACATCACATCGGCTTCCGCTCTCCAACAACATCGTCGTTCGTTCGTTTGCTAGCTAGCTGCTACCTAACATAAATATAACTAAACATACCTAAAGTAAGTGTATTTAAGAGTTTTAACATGGGAAAGTGTACATTTAATGAGACTTGGTTGGAGAACAGCAAGTATGACTGGTTGAAACCAGTTAAAGAAAATCCCTCTGAAGCACGCTGCATACTGTGTAAGAACGTTTTTAAACTAGGCACAATGGGCATAAAAGCGGAGTGACAGACACAAACAACTTAACTGTTAAGTAATTCATGTCCTTTTACTTTGTTTACTGTCCATTGATAGCTTCAGGTATATTAATCAAACGATTATATTGGTTGGAATGTTTTTCACTTCTTGCGCGTAATTCTTTTGTTGCGAAATTGGTCTTGAATTGCATTCCAAGTGGCATTAAAAAAGTCTTAAAAAGTCTTAAATTTGACTTCCTGAAACCTGCAGATACCCTGTACGCAATACTGACTGGTAGGTTGGGAGTTGATCTGTCCATGTACATCTTGGGTGGACACGCCTACTTGTGATGTCACCAGGGGATAGAATTTTGAAATGGCTTGTAGTGACAGTAGTCGGCCTCACACCTGGTAGTAAAATAAGGGCCCTTCAAGTCTATTGATGTAAAGTTAGATGACGATGCCTCCCTTAGTATCGCTTGTTAAACACAAACACCAAAAAAAAATCAAAACTTATTTTAACCCTGATAAGGCGAACATACAAGAAAAGTTGAGATGATGAGCAAAAACAAGTTATATTGTTATTACTAAACATTTCTATTATTGCAACTAGTTTCTAATCATGAATAACTTATGCACTGCTATACAAGTAAATACATTGGTACACGCCAGAGGCAGCTAAACAAGCCATGTTGTATTGGTTATTGATTTGTTGAATGTGATTGGTTCTTGTCTCCAGGCGGTTGGATTGGGTCGGAGATCGGGAAGACGGTTGAGCGCTACGACCCAGAGGACAACAAGTGGGAGGTGATCGGTAGCATGGCTGTTCCTCGCTACTACTTTGGCTGCTGTGAGCTGCAAGGTGCTGCACTCCCTCGTTAAAACAACAACTCCCAACTACAACTCAGCTGACAAATCATACCTCTAAACCTAGAACTATAACTAGAACAAATATCGAAGATTATAGATCAAAGCAGCACACACTCAAAATTGATTAAAACAAACCCCAGAAATTTCAGATTGACTACACTATACATACTACATACTACACCAGACATACTACATATGCGCCATACTCACCTCTCTCTTTCTTTTTCTCTTTCTCCCCCCAGGCCTAATGTACGTGGTGGGGGGGATTAGCGACGAGGGTCTGGAGCTGCGTTCAGGCGGAGGTGTTCGACCCCCTCTCCCACCGCTGGCGCCCACTTCCCACCATGGCCACGCGGCGGGCCTATGTGGGAGTTGCCGCCCTCAACAACTGCATCTACGCCGTGGGGGGGTGGAACGAGGTGCTGGGCTCCCTGGAGACGGTGGAGAAGTACTGTCCCGAAGAGGTAGGGACGCCGTTGCTCACTTGCTGTTGCTGCTGCTGCTGCTGCTTTGAGGAGATTGTTGTCAGTTCTTACCTTACCTGGATTTGCGAGATCACGATCACGCAAGAGTCCATCTTGCCAGGCTTCAAGTGATGTGCTTGTGGCAGAACCACAGTGGTTCGGACCAATCAGAATCCTATGAGGAACAACTGGCAGCTGCAAGCGTGGTTTATGTGTGATGACAGCGTTCGAAAACAACAACAGCGGCTCCTATAGAGGTTAGGCATCAGTTATATCTGGACTGGAGAGTATTTCTTCATTGAAAGAAAAGCAAAGAATGGCACTGAAGGCTTTTCTCAGTGAAAAAGATGTTTTCGCTCTTCTACTACTGTAATATGGTTCGTTGATCTGATTGGTTGAAGTTAGCCCATGATGATAGACCAATTGTTCATCCAATCACCTGCCAAGTCATCTGCATTTTTTAAAAGTGCCTGTCCTTTTCCAAACAGGAGGACGACTTCCCAGATGGTTCTGCATAACAAACCATCTGGCACGTCAAGTTTACTCAGTTCACCTATCCATTATTACGTTATTTTTTTAATGTGTATATATAATGGGGGGCCGGATTGTGTAGTGGTGTAGTGGGTAGGGTGGTACCGGGTTCGATCCCCCAATGTCATGGCAGTGTAACTACCCTTCTATATAGTTATTTAGCAGGCTCTTTTATCCAAAGCAACTTGAATGAATACAGGTACAAGTCATTAAGGAGCAGGTCATCAGGAGCAGGTTCATTGCATTTATATAGCGCATTTCAAGACACCCAAAGCGCTTTACAAATTGTGTGTGCATGTGCGCGTGTGCGTGTGCGCGGGTGTGGGTGGCACCCACCTGGGTGATGCACGGCGGCCAGTATGCGCCAGAACCCTCACTACACACTGGCTCTCACAGTGGAGGTACTGGGTAAGGGTTAGGTTTTCTTGCTCAAGGATGTCTACGGGTAGACTGTGGACATTAGGGTTTGAACCCAGTACCTTTCGGCTGGGAGTCGAACACCTACTACTACTACTAGCTACTATCCTGCACTATCACTATCCTGCTCCACCTGTAGGCATCCTTGAGGAAGACGCCCTGATCCCCACCTGCTCTGAAGTGACATGTATCTGTCATTAAGAGTCGCTTTGCATAAAAGCATCTGCTAAATGACTAAATGGCACTAAATAGTGACTTGTATTTCAACATTTAGTTTATTTGTTATTTCTCTACTTTGTATACTGAGTGTAAGCGGCTTCACTCGGCTCCTCCGGCACACAGGTAGATGTTGTCCAAACCGGTTTATTAGAGGGTTGGCTTCCTTAATGTTACAGCCAAAGCAGGTGTTAAAGGCTGACATGTCTGAGCTCTGTCCCTGAGTGTGTGGTGATGGCAGTTTTATCCTGTGGGCCTTGATTACTCATGCACTGCATACTAACGTACTGCCTACAACATACTCAATACTCAAAAGAGTATGTACTGCATACTGCCTACTAAAAGAACGATGAAGTATGCCATTACCAGCAGACCGTTCACACTGAAGTATAAATCCAAATATCCCAGAATGCATTACACACTGACCAGAAGTGATAGCGTAGATTTTTAAGCAGGCTGGTTTATGTGTCATTTTATTTAGTTTTAATATTTTTTGGTCGATAAAGTCACCCTGTAGATTTCCAATGTGTGGTCAGTTTATCCAAATGACGCCTGTTTGGAAATTGGCTCCAACATTTTTGGCGATGTGAGGTGACGTGTGAAGAGACGCAATGCATTGTGGGGCAGTTGAGTATGTCTAGTAAGCTCACGCCGCATTTCCCGCATAGAAATTCTTGCTAATCTAGTAAACATCTGGGCATTTTTTGCATACACAAAATCCACATACTTTGCATTGTGAACACACTACATACTCATTTTCATACCTAGTATGAATAGTACGTTAGTATGCGATTCCGAACACAGCCACACACACGTATTCGTCACTGAGTATGTGACAAATATAAACGTCATCTCTGCTCCTTGCAGGAGAAGTGGATGGAGGTGGCATCCATGTCCACGGCGCGAGCGGGGGTGTCGGTGTCGGCGGTCAACGGGCTGCTGTACGCGGTCGGTGGGCGTGCCACCAGCCGTGACTTCTCGGCGCCGGTGACGGTGGACTCGGTGGAGATCTACGACCCCCACCTGGACACGTGGACGGAGGTGGGCAACATGATCGCCAGCCGCTGCGACGGCGGGCTGGCAGTGCTCTGACCCAGCCCCCATAACCTCCGCCCGCCCGGCCATTCTGGGATTGCCGTTAAAAATGACTCACTCCCTCAAACGCTTAAACTGAGGTCTGAACGCTTGGTGTCTGAATGAGGATTTCTCCACATGCTTCCACAAGGAAATGCGTTGGACATTGAACCGCTTGCACTTCTTATCTAATCTAGAAAATGTGCACCAGTGGAGATTAGTGTGGACTGGAAACACGGTAGCAGATTAGTCCTCCGCCTCCGAGAGTCTTTGAACATTTCAGTGTTGGGGTTGGTTTGTTTTGGTTTGGTGTTTTTTTTTTTTTTTCTTTTTACCCGGTTTATAGGATTCAATCTGGATTCTGCTAAACTGTGATGTTGGAACGAGAGCTGAAACTGGAAAACTGGACACTGCTGAGGCGTATTGCAATCTGTCCCAAACTGTTACCACACTCACTCACACACACACACACACACACACACACACACACACACACACACACACACACACACACACACACACACACACACACACACACACACACACACACACACACACACACA